TTTTCTCTAGAATTTTTTAGATTGTTGTGAATCAGATGGTACCAAATTCATTCAGGGTATGTAAATCTTTTTCTCAATTGATTTCCTGAAACCTCAATTACAGTGATAATGTTCTTTCTCAACTTCTAAACGATTAATCTTCTATCATTACACAATCCAGATATTTAGTCAATGTTCTTCAATGACATGGTGAGTACCCCCTTTTTTAAAACTATTTTGTGGTTTAGGATCCCTGAATATTTGATTTAATTAAAAAAAACTAAAGTGTTATCCAATCGTCTTCAGCAACTACATTTAAATCGGCTTTGCATAAGGGATATGAAAAATTCATTACCATTCAACAAACTTGAGTGCGGATGCTAATAGTGTACTATCCTAAAAAATTCATGTTCTCTAATAGGTTCGGATAAGTGAAGTCCACTATAACTCTTGAGGGGATAACTTATTTCAAGAATCAAGAATTCAGAAGGATTTAATTTCAATGTCAGCAGTTCCATTCGATCACTTGTCTAAGTTTTCCATCTTTGACTTTGACTATCCAATCAGAAAAAGCTTATATGTTCTTGTCTGTGTAAGAGAGTGTAGATTAATGCAATCTCATATTTTTGGTCAACGTATAAATTTTACAATACAACTACATTTGTGAGGAATTAGTGGTAGCACCTACAATTTCCTCTCTCAAAGCTATGAGTAAAACTGAAAGAATTTGGATAAATCTTCTTTGCGTACAAATGTTTTCCCTGTGAATGGTTCATTTATGAATTTATTATTGGAGAACCTCATTACATCTCTCATTGTGTAATCCAATGTCTCAAAAGAAAATATATGCATCGTAGATGATAAATCTCATATGATTATACTTACTTTTTGGATTAGGTCTGATTTTGGACTCCATTGTTTGTTGTCATAAAATGAGCACTCGGTTAGCACCAAAGGGATTAAAAATCTCGATTCTCCTTCCCCTAGGCAAAAGCAATGCTACAATGTAATTGGATGCGACATTCAAGACAACCTTACAATTTGACCTTAGAGAAGCAGATAATGACTTCTAGAGAAATATTTTTCTAGTTCCACCGTAACCATGCACAAAAAAGAACTCCCTCTTTTAGCTATCACGACTTCCATTATTTCATTAGATATATTCCACTGATCTTCATTCATCGTAGATAAATATCCTCTAAGATCAAATGACAACTTTTTTTAATCATAGTTCAACTTCTCTATCAAAAAACTATTTTGTTATTTATTAAGTTGATTGTCATCTCCAAATGGCATGCACTTGAATTCCTTTAAAGGTCGTCCATTTCAATTAAGCAACTTTTCAATCTCAATTAGACATAAATTTTTTTAGGTCTTCTCGTGAAATTATAAGCTCTACAAAAAAAGAATTATTTGTTTCTATGCAGTGCTCAATTAAAGAGTTTTGTTTTCATATAATGCGTTTCAGATGGATTAATACATTAAAAAACTATCTTTATGTTCAAGTACCTTGATTCCACAATATTCTCATTCGATCAAATAAAATTCCATTTACCAAGAGTTCCTATAATTTTTTCAAAACACTTTATGGGTGACTCATGGTACGTGGACAAACAACACTTTAGCATATTCCCAAATCCTAACTTAGCAACCTCTTTTATACCTTCAATAAGTTCTTTATCATCGGTTAATAACCCTGATGCTTCACATGGTGCCTCAAATACGCTATGTAGAACATTGTTAACTCTCCTCAAGCTCTAATAGCTTGTACATCCTCGCTGGACAGTTAATAGTACAACTATCTAGTTTTCGTAAACACGTATTGTAGTCTGCCTATTGATGACCTTTGTTGCATCGGAACCATTTTCGCACTTTAATTTATGGTTGTACACACAAAAAATTGGGAAATTCTTTACATACATCAAATTTTATCCCGCATTATATTGTGTATTGGAAATCATCCAAGCTTCAAACATTGAAGCTTTGTCAACATTTTCTTTGACAATATCTTTTAGCTTTTTTTGATCTCTAAGGGTTACAAATTTTAGCCATGGGAGATGAAAATTCAACATCGAGTGCATCCACCATATTAATTTACGTAATACTTTCTTACATTGTTTATAAGATTTTATACATAGAGTTAGTTAATACACAAAGATATTTGTTTTATTATCATCTTCAAAGAAATTAAAACATGTGTAAATGTGTTATAGAAGATAGATCCATCTGTCTCTTATGCACT